GCTGAGCAGCCGCTGAGCTGCCAACAGGTGGCAGGATGGCTCAGCTAAAAAAAAAAATTAACATAAATTATGCTGCTGCCCTGGTTTTGTAATTTACACGAGACAAGGCCTTTCAAAAGCTGATTTCCTATTTTATCTCAGCCCAATTAATATTAATGGTGAGCTTCTTTACCAAATGGACAGACTAATAACCCTTTGAGCTGTTATGTAATTCCAATGTAGTTTGTTAGTATGAATGCCTTATAGTTTTTCTGCATGCCTCAAAGTGTTTGTAATTCCTTAAATTATGCTCTTTTGTGAGATGACCCCTGTTACAATCCCATGAATAAGGTGGTCGTTATTTAACAGGGTGGGGTAATTTCCTAAGACACCTCATCAATATGTGCGTGTACGTGTGTGTGCGTGTGTGTGTGTGTGTGTGTGTGTGTGTGTGTGTGTGTGTGTATTTTGCTTTCGTTCCCTTTATTCTTTTTCTCTGCTCTTTTTTTTCTGCCACAGCCTCCTCCTCTTCCTTTGCCCCTTTAATCTTCGGGACAGAGCATTTTTGAGCACAGAATAGGTGCTCAGTAAATACTTTTGAGTGATGTGTTGACAAGAAAATAAGTACTTCTTTTTCAAAGATAAATCTTTAGTTCTTAAAATGATATTCCTGAAAATAGCTCCTTTGTCTTAGAAGTCACAATAATTGCAATCAGTAGTCCTTATTCCGCTCTGTTACTTAGCCTGCTTTCCATTCAGTGCTTCTGCATGGCAAGATGAGTTACTCTGTGTACTCGTGCAGTCGTCGTGTAATGATACCCCTCACTTTATCACTGCACATCTTTTTATACAGCTGAAGTGCTCACACCACTCCCTGATTTAAGTCATGCAGTGGTTTCCAGAATGCGATTTCCATCTCTTCACCCAGGGCTATTATCCAGTACTGGATTACCAGTTGCTCTTTTACTGTTAAACTGTCAGCTAGTTTTCTTACACTGAACAAAACCTGGAAGATGGGGACTTCAACTTCCAACAAGGAGCGCTGTCTCTCCTTTTCTGGGAAGGGGAAGCACACATTCTCTGTCCGAGTATTTAAACGTGACTATCTTATTATGTACCTGATATTTTTATATAGGTCTTACTGTGTATGCCTGGTACTATCCCAAGCACTTGCCGAAATTGATTTTTATGCTTGTGAAGCCTATGCCGTAGGTGTCATTGTCCTCAGATCATAGATGAGGACACTGAAGCAGGAGTGTCGCTTGCCCAAGGTCACCCAGATTGTAAGTGGTGGAGCCAGGAGTCAAACGCAGGCAGCCTGGCTCCGGAGTTGATGCTTTTAACCGCTATGTGTGTCTACCTACCATTATAGGTCATTCTGCAGACAGGAAGTACCCATGGTCGGGAAATCGTTAAAATTTCAGATTCTCCCGGAATATTTAAAGAGTGGCATAAACATGCTGCTTAAGGAGAAGAAGCCCCAGTAGCAAACTGCGTAAAACTTTCCAATATTTAGGCATAGAACGTGCACTGTTTCCTGGGAAAGGCCCGTGCAGATCACTTCGGAGGGTGGTGGCATTTCTGTAGCTCATGTCCCTGAGCCAGTGACATCTCCAGTGTGCTGCCTGGGGCATCTTCTTAACTAGATCATTAGGACTTTTCCTGCTTTCCACATTACCACAGGTGACAGTGTTGCCAAACTTGCCACCACTAATAAAAGCGCTTACCCCCCTCCCCGCTTGCCTCCAGCTTCTAGTCACATTTAAAAATCTTTCCGTTAGGCTCTGACCGACAACCTCCTCGAAGCCCTTCCCAGTGACAAAGCCACGTAGCCACATATTATAGATTGTTTTTTTTTGCGGCAACGCCCTCCTTCCAGGTCCCAGAATCTCATCTGGTTATCCAATGCTGCGAAATTTAGTGGCTTAAAACAGGAATTGTTGATTATTTTACTTCTCTGCTCCACGCAGTGTCGCCAGGAGTCGCTTGACTGGGGCCTGTCCACTGTCAAAATGGTGTATTCGGGTGGCTGGCACGTTGGTGCTGGCAGCTGCCTGGGAGCCCCGCCGGGACTGTGGCACACTGACTTCAGTTCCTTTTTACAGGCTGCTCGGACTTCTTTGTCGCATGGTGGTAGCCGTGTCCCGAGAGTGAATGTCCCAAGAGCCAGGTGAAAGCCGCATCACCTTTTATGAGGTAGCCCTTCCAGTCACATAGCATCACATTCGCCATAGTCACGAGCCACCCAGTTTCAAGGACAGAGAACCTAGACGCCCATCTCTTAGCGATGGGAGTATCCAGTCACGTTGCAGCAAAGAGCGGGAGGCATAGGAGATAGTTGCGGTCATTTTTGGAGAGTGCAGTCTGCCACAAAAGGAGACTTATCAGAAGATCTCGCATTCCGTAACCTTTTGTCTTCATCCTTTCTTTTTCACCTTAGCTAAGCAGTTCCAACAATTTAGTTTTTCCACTTTGTTGGATGGTATGTCTTCACTTAAGTATGCATGTATATGTCTACATGTCAACTTTATACTCATCTGTTTTTTTGCCTGAATACATTATGGTGGTTCTTTTTATTAATGTGCTTGAAAAGAACCTGCTATCTATTAGGAAAATCAGATTCTTTAAAAAAAAAAGAAGATTCACATCTAACTCATACTCTGGTTTGCATTTGCAGATCAAATACTGGAAGCATTTATTGAAAAATGACAATGATCATTTATTCTCTTCATAATGGTAGCCTGTGAACGGTGATGAAAAATAATTCAAAACAGCTTAGAAAATGATTTGCTGTTGACATGGGTGTGTTTTGCAACGAGTTGACTGTTTTATGCTTTAAGGGCAAGCCTACTAAGTATTTCTTCGTTTTCACCTGGTATTGGTGGAGTGTTGTGTCAGGCGTTGGGCTTACGCTGGCAGCCGGAAGTAAGCGGTCCTGCCCTCCTAGAACCCATCATATAGTGAGGAAGATGGGCACTGATGGACCATCCCAAATAAATCGAATCACAACCACTTTAAGCACAAACGGAGCTCTGAGAGTATCTGCTGGGGACGTTGACCTCGTCCCCTGAGTGACATGCCCTTGTAGCTGAGGCCTGGACGATGGAGAAGCCATAATCTTGCTGAGAGACGTGTGTGTGTGTGTGGGGGGGGGGGGGGGGNGGGGGGGGGGCGGCGGGGGAACCACAGCCACACACAGCTTTGTGCAGACGTCTGTGAACATACACCCCTCGTGTACAGACATTTCTGGGGAAGCAGTCACTTTTGCTGTGACTCTGCTAAGAGCCCGGGTAGTAAGTGACTCTTGGAAAGCCCATGTTCATATGGGCCTTACAGAGGTCTGAGTTTTAAGGAGCCTTTCTCCTTTGTGAAGAATTACTTCATTTTGAATAATCGCGATCACTAGAGACAAGGGCAATTCAAGTAAGGGTTCAGGTACAGCAGTTCTGGACCAGTGGGTCTCCATGTGTGGCCTGGGCTTCCCTGGGGTTCCCCAAAACCCTCTCAGGGTAGCTGAGGTCAACACGGTTTTTGTAATAATCCTGAGACATTATTTGCCTTTTCCACGTTCTTCCTTTCACGAGGTGAGTGGACTTTTCCAGACATAGCTGCTGTGATTTCATCACAGCAGAGTGGATGCAGACGCCTAAATGAGAATTCGGCCAGCATCTATTAAGCCAGACCTTTTAAAAGTTTTGCAAAAATGTCATTCTTCTCACTTTTTTTTTTGGAAACTTTTGTTATTTTCATAACCATGTTGTTGATGCTAACATGTAATGGGTTCCTTTTTATTATTTCTAAATGAATTAATAAGTAATTCTAAGTTTTCTGTTTTGGCTTCTAATATGGTAGTGACTGCTAGATAGATATAACCCACATAAACAGAAGTTCTTTTTTAATTTTTAAAGTGTAAAGAGGTTTTGAGAGCCAGGAGTTTGAGAACCACTAAAGTATGGCATTCTACTTGACTTTGACCTTGTTACTTAGCCTCTCAGACACAAGGAGTCTGAAAAATGGGGGTGACGATCAGAGAACTTCCCTTGTAAAAGGATTAAAGGAGTTAATATATGTCAAGAGCTTTTAAGGATACATGGCCCCGAGTAAGCATTCTCCATATGTTAGCTTTTATCATCATTACCATTTCATATGAAAGCAGAATTTCTGCACTTCCAAATACGACTGGAGCATGGGTGCTAAGAATGTTTGCTTGTGTTTGTGGTCATCCATTGTTTTGGTAAAACGCAGTATTCGGAAGTAAAAGAAATGGGATTTTGTAATTTTTCTTTTAAGTTGGGTTGTAGCAGAGGTTTTTATTGGTAGATGGGCAGGGTGTGAGGTTGGAAGAGACATCGATTCAGAATAACTTGGGGTACTTTTTCCACCCACCCTCTTCCCCCCGCCTTCACCCTCATCCTCACAGCCAAGGTTCTGCTGTGTCCAGAATCATGGTGAACGGGGGAAAGATGTCATTTGGGAAATCCCCCCCCAAGAAACTGTGACATGTATCCAGGCTCCAGTGTCCTAGACAGTGAGCTGAGAGGAGGAGCCACATTAGCGATCATCTCATTTGGTACCCAGTTTTTCAGATAGACAAACTGAAGCCCAGTGAAGGAATGGTTTGCTCACACAGGTTCACCCAGCATATTAGACGCCCAGCCAGGACAAGAGCTGGCGTTCTGACTTGTAATGGCAAGAATACTAGGCTCAAAATCAGAAGCACTGGTTTTAACTGGTCATCTGACATTGAGCAATTTACCGAAAGCCCTGATAGTACGTGTCCTTATTTGTAAAGTGGAGGTGAGAATAATACCGACCATCACAGGGTTGTGAAAAGGATCGAATGAGACATCACCGGAAGGTGCCAGGATGCAGCCCCGTATTCAGGAGTCTGCCATCATTTGCATGCTGCGTCTATAGAGAGACATTTACCAGTGAACTAAATAACTTTTCGAAACCTAAACGCTTGCCTTAAATCACGTGCTTCATAGATTCGTAACATTTTCTTTTTTCTGTCTTTTTAGGACAGCCCAGAAACTTGCAGGACCTGTGCCGAATTAAAATTCGACAGTGTATAGGCCTTCAAAACTTAAAGCTACTTGACGAACTACCGATTGCCAAGGTCATAAAAGACTACTTAAAACACAAATTTGATGATATCTAATGTACACAGAACTGTGAGCAAGATGAGGAGCTCTGTTCCAGATTCTTCGAAGGCTCTGGGCCTTGCACAAAAGTATATCCTATGCAATTTCTGATTTGCTGTGAAGTCAGAAAGCAGGTATACACTTTAGGTTTATTTTTGTTTGTTTGTTTGGTTTTCATTGTAGGGGAGGGTTTTTTATATATATAAACACACACACACACACACACACACACACACACACACACACACACACACACACACCACATGCTCGAAGGTCTTAATTTGGTTTCTTGGTCCAGGTTTAAGAGGTCCAAGCTTTCTATACAATATTGCATTTACAAAAAAATGGGTTTTTTCTAAATGATGCAAGCAGGTTTGGAATGGAGAATTTAGCCTTTTTAAAATGGTTTCTTGGGCGTGCAGGATAATATAAATCCAGCAGAGCACGTGTCAAAGTTTAGAGGCATAGCTTCACCCAGGGGGGTCCTGGGTTCTATTGGAATGTTCCCTAAGGAATTTTTAAAGTGATGCTGTCACCTCATTCATTTTTAATGACTACAAATTGGCTCTTTCAAACTGTTCTTTTCCTAATTACTGTAGCTTTCGGGTGACATAAATCCGGTACCTCTTGCTCTCCTGTTGGTGTGCTCTTGTTTTTAACTTATTTTTTTTTAACAACCATAGTACACTACCCAGAGACACTGGGTGTCAACGTCTGTCTCGTTGAATTGTGCTTTAAAAAAAAAATGAATGAGAAAGAAAATAACTTTATGAAGCCAGTGTATTCTGTTTTTATAACAGTGCCTCCAGTGCAATAGTCCTGTCTTGGTGGATTTCATCCATTATCTCACTTGATGGTCCTCATTCCACAGCCAGCTTTGACCGTCAGAACTGCCACTTTAATTTTAACTGCAGAACCCTAGGGTGTCAGTTGCAATTTCCATTTTAGCTTTGTCCTTTCCTTCACTTGATGCAGAAAATCTCATATCCTGGTGGTAGCGTATTCCCTAAAAACAGCCCCCAAATATTGTCAAACCAGTTGGCTTTAAATGATTAAACAATTTGGAGTGGTTTCATGGTGGTTTTTTTTTTTTCTTCCTGGTTAAAAAAAAAATTCTAAAGGGTAACACTTCTAACGTGTGTACATTTGTAAGTCTGATTAATTCCTAATATGCTAATGAAATATTTCCTATCTGTTTTAAGGTTATACGCAGTGAAGCTGTTCTAGACTTTTTTTTTTTTTTCTGGGTTGATGGGGCATGTGCTGATGCCGGCAGTGTAAAAACGGATATGATAACGTGTCAGTAACAATGGAAAAGCTTCCAGACGCATTAGGGATCCGTGATGGTGCCCTTGGAAATGTGTCCTGTGCTTGATTTGTCATCGTATTAGTTTCAAAAAAAAAAAAAAAGAAAAGAAACTTTTCAGCTATTCCAGTATTGTTCTTAGTGCTTTGGGATATTTCAAACTAGTTACACACTAGTAATAACATTTCTTACCAGAAGTTTACATGATGAAGGGCTTCTCTTCTCTGAATTTCTAGTTTTATGCCATTAAGTCTATAAAACACTTTCACCTAAAAAAGGATAATGCAGAAGAATGTGGAGTCTGCGCTGGCCATTCATTTCTCCAGAGCCTGCAGTTGTATTTTCTCGAGCACAAAGTTTGTTCTCTCGGACACGGAGTTGCTGTGGCATAGGGCATCCGATCGGTTGTCCTAGGCAGTTAGTCAGTGCTCGGGCTTCTAAAGAACAGGCAGTTTTGGGAAAAGGATAATTGGGGACCCACTGATGGATACATAGACTTTATTTTAGGGAGCCAGTGAGAGTGTGGCCAGAACTGTCGCTGCAACCTGGTGGACAGAAATAGGTGGTCTGTCTGTCCTTTTCCCCGGGAAAATATCTCCAAAAGGTTATCTTCCAAGAGAAGGTGCTTTGTGAACATAGGCGCTGAGCTGTGTTCTTTAAACCAACACCCAGGTCGGAGCTAAGACATGTTAGCAGCATCCGGGACGTGGCAGGGCCAGAAATGAATTGAGTGTTATTTCTCCCTAAAGCCCCAGGCCCAGGGAGCCGAAGAGATGGGAGGGCGCCCGGGATCCGTTCTTCTGAGCAGTAATGCTAAATGTTACATTTGCACACGGCTTCTTTCCTGATATGCGTGTATTTATCCAGTTACCTTGAAATGATTTTCTTCCCCCAGCGATTCGAAGGTTTCCAAACTAAGCCACTGAGTTCGAGTCAGGGAATTCCAAGTAAAAAGAGTCAGACTGAGGTAAATTCTTCATTCTGTATTGCTGCTGCAATGTGAGGGGGAAAAAAAAAAATTATGAGAGCTCTTTTTGGAATTGAAATTTCTATTTAATGAAGAAGTGTATAATTCCATTATTTATTGTTTGAGGTTTGATTTATCCGGAAGCTTAAAAGGAATGTTTTATTTTTTTGGCGTTAGTAAAATCCCAATCACATATCATATTTAGCAATCACTAAAATATCTCGAAGTTGGTAACTGGTAGAACTGCAGCAATAAACATGCAAGTCCATATTTGAATCTGATTGTCAGAGAAGCGTCCTGTGGTCACATAATGAGTAGAGAGAACAAGTATTTTCAGAAAATCAACTGATTGGTTTTTCCAATGTCTTGACTGAGATGTTCAGAAGAGGATCAGATTTGCCACTGATCCTTCTGTGTTTCTTTTGCGATTTATTATTTAAGCCTCTGACTAAACCTTTATAAAACTATATCTGGCAAATACACCAAAGAAACCAGCTCCTAAAAGATTATAATCATTAATGAACTGTAAACCTCATCTTTTGAAAACAGAAGATTTTTTTTCTTGTGTGTGTGTGTAAATATTTGTGTTGATAAATGTACAGCAGAGCAAGAGCATTTTGGAGATTATTTAATTCCCAGATTTCTAAACGATTTACTGCAGGATAATCCACGCTTGGTAGTTTGGAGGACTTGACTGTTTTTTTAATTCATTATCAGTCATGCCTGGAACAGCGTTTCCGCTAGAGAATTCAGTGTTCTGGCAGTCGCGAGAGTACACATCTGGAACACGAGGCAGTCTAGCATGACTTGTCAGAATCACACCCTAAGACACAAGAATGTGTATGTAGCTTAATGACCGAGTGGACCACATGAAAGTCGCAATTCTAACTCGCCTGCAGAATTGCTCATTTAGCCCAGAATGTGATTGGGATGAGGCTCCGTGCCCACAAATTTAGCTTTCCTGTAACTCCTAGTGTGTTATATCACCATGTATTTTGTTCTTCCTTTGTAATGTAAGTTTTGCTTTGGGTCAATTTGAATTAAAAAAAAAAACCAACAAAAAACAAAAAAACTTCAACCTGGTTTAAAACATATTGGAATTGTGTTTTATTTTTTTGGTTGGCTTTAACTGTTGAACATTTTCAGTTACTTGGTGAAAAGAAACAAAAGTCTATCACTCATCAGCTTTTAGATAATTGGCAATCGTGTAAGAGTGCCTTTTTTTTTACGATTTTATTGGGGAATTGGGGAAGGGGAACAGTGTTGGGGAATTGGGGAAGGGGAACAGCCAAGTTGTTGTCCTTCAGTATTAGATGTGGAGGGCGCAGCTAGCTCCAAGTCTAGTCGCCATCTGGCCTCCCATCAGCAGCTCGCGGCCACTCAGCTCAAGGTTCTGTGTTCAATCTTAGTTGCAGGTAGGCATAGCACACTATCCCATGCGGGAGTAGAACTGGCAACCTTGTTGCTAAGAGCACATGCTCTAACCATTGAGCCATCCGGCCACCCATCGGCAGCTCAGGGAAGCTCAACTCAAGGTGCTGTGTTCAATCTTAGTTGCTGGTGGGCATAGCCCACTATCCCATGCAGGAGTCGAACCGGCAACCTGGTTGTTAGGAGCATGTGCTCTCACCAGCTGAGCCATCCTGCCACCTGTTGGCAGCTCAGCGGCAGCTCAGCTCAGGCGCAGCTCACTGGCCCATGTGGGAATTGAACCAGCAACCCTGTTGCTCAGAGCTCGCGCTCTTAACCAACTGAGCCACTTGGCTGGCCCTATCACCTCCTTTTTTAAATGCATTCTGCAAATACCAACCAACAAAAGACTGTCACACTCTTGAGTGTGTTGATCCAACACTAGACATCTTTGGGCTAGATTCACCTCTGCCTCGCACCTGCCACACTTTGATTGACAGAGTTTGGACCACAGCATTTCTAAGCGCCGAATAGTCAACGCAGCTTAAACAGTGAACTTGAGGTAGTTTGTTAGCCTGCAGGAGATGGAAGCAAAATGGCTTTGATTTCACACTTCCCCTATGTAACAGCACAGCTTGACTCACGGCAGAGCTGCCACTGACCCCGATGATGATGTGCTGAGGAAAAGGGGGGGCATGACTTAGCACCTCACCCAGAAATCCCATGTTTTGCAACTACAATCTCGTTGCAGACTTCTGCAGGGTTTGGCACAAATGAAGTCCAAGAGTGGGACATTTGAAACGAGTCCTAATGATCAGCAGGGGAGTTCAGATGTGAAAAATAGCTGTGTTGCTTGGAAATCTTGAGGTCATTTCATTTCCAATATGATGTAAGGAGCATATTGTTTTCTCAGCTGAAAGACAATTTTCAGAAATGACTATTGATAAAACAGATTATCTACTTGATAAAAAAATATTTCCACATCCCATGTAGTGGGTTGCAAAGATGAAAGGAAATGGATTTGTGTCCTCTGCCCGTATTTATGTAACATCATGTAACTCTAGGTTCTCCTAGCATGGCTTACAGTTCTGATGTTAGAATTTATATTAGCTTGACTACGAATAAATATTTTAAATATCCGCTTCCAGGAATGGATATTTAGGCCCAAGCTGATGTAGACTCCTAACATACAAAAGTGATTTGTCTTTATTCTATCGCTGTTCTGTCATTATCCATCAGCCAGCTAGGGTGTACTGTGTCCCCTTTTCTCATATGCTGCTAGAGTGTTCAAAGGTTTGTAATATATTTCTTTAAGATCATGGTGTATTTTAGAGATAATCTCTTTCGCTTCTGGAAGGACTCTATGAGTCCTGGGTGACAATTAGTATTCAGAATCTTGTTTGAAAAGAGGGAGGTGATTTATGGAAGGTCCTATAAGGGAGCATCTGTGTGCGAACAGGACCCTGCTTGGCGGCCTGTCCTAAAGGAGTGTATCACCCTAAGCCCTGAGATGCGCTCTCCCATTTTCATTCCTCCTGCTGATCCCAGAATGCCTCACTCTGGGTTTCAGCTGGGTTTCCACAGGCTAAGTGGTTTAGCAATTCTGAAGACCCATAAACCATCAGGAGCAAAGGATCAGATTTGCAAATACATCCTCTTCTGTTGCAGCTACAATCTTTTAAAAAATTATGTCATCTTTTGTAGTTATTCTAAACATATTTTCAGTTAAATTTTGGGCTGTTCCAGCATCTTAAAAATCATACTTAAAACCTTCTTAATGTTTCCTTTTCATTGGGAAATTGCTTTTAAACGAATAGGAATGTAATCGACATGATGTTATATCAAGTAGTAATGGAGTGATTCACTTTTCTGTGAAATAGTATTTTCTGAGTCAGAAAAGAGATGGCTTAAGTTGGACAGTGGGATTCATTTGATGCTGAAAAATTCAGATATGTGACGAGTACACTGACCCTCTGTGACTGACACAGAGGTAACCCAGCTGTAGATACTTCCTATTTTATCTGGCAAACGGAGCCATGTTTTTCTTGTGTCTCAATCTTGAGCTAATGTTGCTTTTCTTCCTCTAATCGTTTTGGGTCAGGTCACTGCTCAGTTTTCTTCTTCTTTACAAAAAAGAAGAACAACATTTGTAGGGCATGGACTTACTGCACATGGCCATTTGATATTTCTCTAGAGGTTTTCTAGATTTTTCCCTCTCTTAATTCTGGCTACTTAACCCTTTAGGGAAGTTTACACACATGCACAAGGTATGGTCGAGTTGCTTTCATGTACACATTTTAGAGTTCCTGGACTACTTGTGTTTCCATTAGGAAGAATGCCTAGCACATTAGTCTGGGCTGCATCCATTTGCCCATCTTGGGTAGCACCAG